GGACAGCGGGAATAGGGGCAAGCAAAGGGATGCGGTGGAGCGGTACGGCGGGCAGGTTGAGCAGGGAGCGCCGTGGGGACAGCAGGAGCCGCCAGCACCCGCTGCCTGTTCTCACCGGTGTCCGTGAGAGCCTTCAGGAGAGGTCTTCAACACCTACCCTGAGGTTATAGCATTGGCTGTGCAGGTGAATTGCACAACTGGTTGCAGAGTTTCTTGGACTCGGCTTTTGAAAAACATGGGTTAGTCTAGTGCTGAATTCCTTCTGCACTTTGTGGAGCTGAACTGCATAAACACGTAGCTCTGGAGTGACCCATTCCGCACAGGCACGTCCCGTGTGGCTACGAAGCAGCAGGAGCACAGCCTTGGAGTGATCCAGTGAGCAGTGGGCACGGGGGACTAGGACATGGTCCCAGATGGCTGAGTGTCTCTTTGCATCTCCTGCTTGTTTCTTGACAGAGCTGACTCTGTCCTTCTGCCCTCGATTTCTCATCTGGTTTTATTAGGAGGATAAATGAGCAAGTGACATCAAGCTCCTCTGTAGAAATGAGCTTACTGCCTGTCCATCTCTTCACCTGCACCACCTCTGTGGCCTTTTCCAGCCCTTGGCTCCAGTGAAACCTCCCCCAGTTCTCCCATCAGTCCGGCTCCAAGCTGTCATCCCTGCTGAGCAGCCTTCATTTGCCTTTACAGTTCCAGCCTAGGGCTTGTTGCAGCATTTTTCAGCCTACCTCCAGATGCAGTGCTGGGGTCATTCAAGATTCCAGCCAGGTAGCCCCACATGAGGATGCTCGTGGGTAGCCCCACAAGCGATGCTTGCTGAGGGCTCATGCGCCCCAGCTCCGCAATCCTTGTCCCCGTGGGAGCTCTGACACTAGTGCTTTGCTTTGGTTAATATGGCCTTTTGGAGGAGGTATCTAAACTGAGAAGCCGGTTCATATTTGCTTGCTCTTTCCTTAAGGTTTACCATTGCTTGTTCAAGAGCTTCCAACTTTTTTTTTCCCCTTTCTCCTTTAATACTTATTCAGCTAATTGAAAAGACAATGCCTAGAGCACTGTTCATTCTGTATATAATCCATACTAGCAGCTTTATAGTTAGTGTTGCTTTATTTTTTTTTCCAGGTTAGTAGTTTTGTCTCTGGCGCTCTATGTAAACTAGGTATCTACACCAATGGTAGAGCACGGCCCCGTGTGAGAAAGCTTGTCTAGACAGCACAGGCAGGACCTGTCATTGGGAAACAAAGCTGTGATATTAGCTAGGTAGGAGACGATTAGTTCTGCTAGGCTACACGTTAAAACTGGTGAAGTGGCCAGCCAAGGAGGAGAATGTTTGTTAAAGAAAGATGGAAAAAAATAACAAACTACAGCATGTGTCTTCATTCCCCTATCTGGAGGGATTACTGGAGTTCAAAGAGTCAAAGTTGAGAGATGAAGTTGTCATATTTAGGGTAGCTGCTTTATCAGGGCCTCTAGGCGCAGGAGGAAATGCTGGAGTGAGACAGATCTTGGCTGTTTCCATTCAGCCAGCCCAACGCTTCAGTGGCTGCTAGTCTGCTGGACTCACAGAGCACTATGCAAATACATACTTTAAAAAAAACAGGTAACTCTATGGACATTTTTCTGTAATTCACTCAAATGTGAAAATGTCTGACAAGTTGGGAGAAATTCCTTTTCTCTGCGCTCTGAATCCTGAGAAGAAATGGCTGCATTTCAAAAACAAACTTTCCAAGGAGCCAGCACTGAGATGAATTAATTATTATTATTGTTTTTAAGTAGGCCAGATTCTCAGCTTGTGCAGGCAGTGATAGCAGCTGGTGCTGCTGTGTCTAGGTGAGGTGCAGCCGAGCGCCAGAGAACTTCCTTGTTGCCTCTGTGGTTCTGGCCTTCCAACTTTGGGTAAATTTTTTGCTTTCCCTCCTCAGTTTGCCTGCCTGTAGAGCGGAGATAATGTTCCTCAGTCCGTGGGGACAGATCACGTATGCGAAGGCTTTCGAGGATGAAAAGCACTCTATACCAGCTATTACTGTTAGCTTTACATAAAACCAAAGCCTGTAGCGTTACGTAGCTCTTTTGTGCCGCGTGTGAGTCGCTGCGAGACACTGGAGCAGTTCACACATATCTAGTAATCAACAACTCGGAAATCAGCGTGCTGCCAGCGTGGAGAAGGTGGAGCCAGGAGAGGCTGCCTCGCTCCTGTTTCTGTCTGACTGGCAGCAGAAGGTACTGCTAATTCTCATGATTGTAAACTTCCTCTTTTTTTGTCATTTTCTTCAAGCTTCAGCTGCTTGAAGCAGCTTCAAGACTTAAGCAGCTGGTGGCCAGAGGAAAAAGGTCATCTTTTTTTTTTTTTATTTTTTTTACACGATTTAGTGACACTAATTGCCGAGTTGAATACTGATGCAGCAAATTTAACTAGTAGCAGTGTCTCAGCACACTGTTGGAATCTCATTTTGCTGCTCAGGTGCCAGATTGTTTAAGTTTAGCTGCAGAAAGGTTTCCAGCTACGCTTACTGCATTTTGTTATGTTTGTATTCAATATATAAAGCCTTTATTGGGAAGGTAAACATGACTCATTATTGTCTTGAGGTGATTTCCCTGAGCAAATTATTTAAAATCTGAAATAGTCTGTGTCAGAATGAAGCCCAGCAGAGTTTCGCATGGTTGGGCTTCGAAGTACAATAGCTAAATGGCAGCACGTTTCATGCCAAATGTGTCAGCCCCACTTAACCACAAGTTGGAAAACACAGTAACAGGGTAAATAGCAGTAATAAGGGGAAAACTCTGTTAGAGCTGTCTTGTGTTACAGTAAGTTAATGTAACTGTGGTTTTGTCATCCTTCCAGGTTTGTTTGTACAGGGAGACTATGCTCTTCCTACCCAACTGATGCAGCCAGAGAGGAGGAAAAAAAAAAGTCAAGCTTTCAAATACTTCATGTGCCTGAAAGACTCTCTGGTTATTTTTTTTTCTTTTATCAGATTACCTAATGTTATTAAAAGATATTACCTCTCACTAACAAAATAATAAAGCCTCTGAGGTAGCACAAATCAAAGGCCGAAGTTGCTGGCTTTCACAGAGGAGGTTTCTTAGCTATAGTTGCGTGGGTATAAAGAAACTCCTGGAGGGATTGCTTGGGAAGAGAAGGCATCTCTAACCACATAGTACTTGTCTATGATGTGTCTTAGACCTAGCTAATAAGGTTAATACAATGCTGTCTTTTCTAACTTGATGTAGAAGGTCACAAAAAATATTTCAGTGGTAAAACTACAAAACTAAGAAGGAACCAACCCAAAGCTGGAGGCTGGTGTGAGGTTTCCTTTGGCTGTTTTGCAGCTGCGGCGGCTCTTCGGCAGCAGTGTCCCTCCTTTCCCACCCAAGTTTTACCTGGCCATGACCGAGGCGATGGCTGAAGAGAGACGGGCTCGGCTGGAGCAGTATCTTCAGAATGGTATGAGCAGCCTCTGTGTTCAGCAACCTCAGAGCCTAAACCCCTGTGAATGTGTCAGCTGTGGCTTGGGCAAGCTTTACCTTTTACACTAGGTTTGAGCAAGGGGCATCCAGAGGGCTGGGGTTAAGTGTTGCAGCCCTGTCCATTGATTTAACTGGCTCTTCAGTGGCAGTGAATCTTCTTTCTCCTTAGTCCCAAGTTGGCTGCCCTTCTGCAGCTTTCACAAGCTGTGAAAATGCAGCTGTATATTAGACTCAAGCCAACCTGTCCTTCTGTTGGCAGCCCACAGTCTGGTCACTGTCTGCTCTTTCTTGGATCAGTGACCAGAGCTGCCTGGCCCTGCTGCTTCCCTGTGTCATCGCTGGCAATTGTCAGGCGTGAGCGTGAAAACCCATGGCTGCAGGGGGGAAGGTGGGGAGTTAAGGAGTAGCTGCTGCTCAGACTGCTAGAAGCAAAATACTGAGTTGGGCTCTGCGGAAACCTCTTCCCTTGAAGGGTTTCCAGGCAGGCTTGTGAGACTACCAGAGTCTATGGGAAAATTACATCTCTGGAGCACAGTGTGTTGTGTTAGGAACCAGGCCTGCAGGGTTCCTAGGACGTGTCAAGATTCATATAAGCCAAGATTTTTTTTTTTTTTTTTCAGTTGCCAGAAAAAGGGTCAGGGCGGGTAAGAGATTCTGTGGGCTTTGCTGTCTCTGGCATCAGATACTTTGTGCCAAGAAGAGATAACTGTGCAGAAACCAAAGGATGAGCAGGGTAGCACTGACTGTTTTTAGGAATACCTTTTTTTGTACTTTTTTTTTTTTAAAGGCACTGGCCATGTTTTTACATTTAGCCAAGTTTGATTTCTTCCCTCTCCCCTTTCCTCATGTTTTTCAGTTACTTTAGATTCCAATATTACCAACAGTGATGTCTTCATAAGTTTTTTCCGAAAGCTACAGCAGGTAAGTTTTGAATGTTTCAGATAAACAATTTCTTGTATAAAGAGCTGAATTTTTATCTCACCTCCTGGATTCCAGGCTTACTTGTAAAGTAGTGGCCTTGTAAAGTAGTGAATTCTGGTGACACTCTATGGAGCCTAGGTGGTAATAATAGTATTATTGTTTTGTCCATGTGCTAGCTTGTTTCTCACATAGAAAGAACTGTTTGCTTTGTTTTTATATCCTGTGGCCTCTCTGATGAATCTCTTGCCTCTAAACAGTTACAGTTCCCAGAAGAGTCTTTGTGAGAGCTCAATAGGAGGATTACACACATTCTTGGATTTTGCAACTGTAAACGCTTTTTGGTTGTGTCAGTACTTTGGGCTGATAAGTATATTGATGACTGCTGTGAAAACGTCAGCTTCCCTTATCTTATAACTGTGGTGATGGGCACAAAGTGGCATGGATTTGGGTTGCTGCAACCTGGATGACTTTAAAAATCTATTTTAATGCGACTTGCATGAATGTCTTTGGCAGGGGTGGGGAGCTGGAATATCAGGAGTAGAGGGAGGCAGAGTAATCACCAGGTTTTAGGGGCGTTTATACTCTCTGCACCTACTGCTGTGCTAACATGTAGCAAACATAAACCCAGAAAACGAGGCCTGGCTCCCAGAGACTGTCTGGCACGCTGAGCTGGCTTTGCAGAAGGATGTTTCCCCTGCTAACCTGCTGCAGACTGGCTTCTACCAGATACTTACTGAGTCTGTTAGCACTGCATGGAGCTGAAAGTAGTGGGTGCTCCTCAGAGTCAGGTTATTTCTCTTCTGCTTAGACTATATTTTTGCTTAAATTCTACCATTCTAGTGGTCTGCAGCCCGGAGAGCTCTTGTTCATGTCCCACTGCTCTGAAATGTGCTCATCTCCCTCTGCTCTGCATGAGGTGTTCTGGGGGGGCTGTTGTTTGGGAGCAGATGGGTGCAGTGCGACTCCAGGAGCTTTTTTGGGAAAGGCACCCTGCTCTGGGAAGCACCTGGCACGCTGCTGGTGCTGCTGTGTCCTTGCTTGCAGGCAGCCAGCCCCACAGGTTGGGAAGGACCACGGAACAGTTTTTTGTCTCTATTTTTCTTCTCTGCTTATGTGCAATTCAGGTGTGCAAGGAGAATCCTGGAAGGCTGTAGAAGATGGCATGAAGAAACATTCTAACAAATTCTAGAAAGCTTTTCCCTATATATGTAAATAAAAAACTACAATTTGTGCACAATCTCTTTTAATTCGTCCCTTAGTCAGGCACTCAAGTCAGCGAACAAAGTCCTTCCTGACTAGGAGTTTCTTTACTGAGAAGCTCTTCAGTTCGGATCCAGTGCCTCTTGTGGTCCTTAAGATTGCTCCCAGCAATTACCACTGAGTATTAATCAGTCTTGATTAGACTGGCAATAGGTCTCTAAAGAAAGTTAAATGCATCAGCAATGCCTGCAGCTTTCGCTCAAATGCTGCCAACTGTTTTCTTTCTGTCAGAGTCCTAGCTGGAAATGAGTTTTCACAGTGCTCACTTGCAGTGTTCAAAAATGTCTTTTAACATGGAAGTGTTGTGGGTTTATTTATTTATTTATTTTATTTTTAAACATGCTGTCAGAAACTGTTTTATATTCAGGTTTCAGTCTTCACTATAGGCACTTTTGAAGGAGGGATTGTTTCTAAAGGTGACTCTTGATAAGTACATGCATAGGACTTGCTTTCTGGTTATGCACATATGTGTGTACTTATTAAAGCCTGTGATGACTGTGCTGCCAAAAGCAGTCAGTTATTTTGGAGAGTTCGAGATAGGCACTGATTTATACTCTAAATGTTAGTGCAAGATTAGTCCATTCTCAAGACATAAAACCACACTTTTGTTCCACAGTGAAATAGGTTTTCTTAAACAATGTTTAAGTTCCTGCTTGGCCAAGACAGCAGTTCTCCAGCTTTCTTGTTTATAATTTCAACTCTGTAATGGTTGTGCTTACATAAATTATTGTTTCATAATACAAATAGCTGTATGCTTTATGTGTTCTTTCATTATGGTAAAAAACAAACTCCTGAGATCAAATAACTTTGCAGAAAAAAGGCTTACATCCACTGTCATTAGCTGTGTGCAAGTGCCTTTAATTGTGTGACTGGCAGCTGAATAAATATTCATTTTGGCTATTAAGGAATCTCACTTAACAAGCCGGCTTTGTTGTGCACGTTCCAGTGCTTAATAGCATACTAAGTGATTTGTGAAATGTTTTATGGCAAAGTGACAAAACTTCTGTAACAGTTTGGAAAGATGTGGAGTAAGTTTGTGTTTAAAGCACCCCTGGATAGTCCCTTCCTTCCCCACTGCTGGGCATAATAGGCATCACTTAAGCGTTTCATGCAGTGTTCAGGAGCGAAACATAATTAGGGCTTTGGAATTACTGCTACGCAGCGTTAAACCCAGGCATCTCTGTGTATGTTACAGCACAAAAAGGGATGAGCAATAAACCATTCAAGAGCAAGATATCACCAAAGCAAGGAAGCGGCGGCTACCAGGAGCGCGGGCAGCCCTGGCGCCTGTGGCCAGGGCTGATGAGCAGGGGGTGGCCAAGCCCCTCTGCTGCCACAGCTATTTACTGAGCACAGACCCGTCTGCAAGCTGAACCCAGGCAGCTTTGCTAGCAGAGGGTTTCCGTTTGGGTGGAATAAGAAGATGGGAAATCTATAGGCAAATGGGACTTACTTAGACTATATTTTTGCTTAAATTCTACCACTAACTTTTTACCTTCACCTTTTTTTTTTCCATAAGAGAGGTAGTAGAGCTGTCCTCTTAGATAGTCCTCTAATGCCTGTAGATGCTTCTTTTTCTGTGCTTGTCCTAAAAACAGCAGAATTTCAGCTTCTGGATGGAGACTCGTGTATGTATCACTGATTAAAATAGAAGGTACAAAGAAGAGAAAAACGACCTGAATTTAAGGCCTTCTTGGTTGTCATCCTGTGTTCTGCTTCCAAATGGTGTTGTGAAGGGTATGCCGGGACCAGGACCCTGGTGAGGGATCTTCCCATCAGGACAAGCAGTAGGAGCTGCTTCATATTATCCCTGTCAGCATCATTTTGATGCAACTCCTCAATACCTTGGAATGTAATTTTAAATTCACAGCCAGCGTGGGCGCTGGGCATGCACAGAGTACTGCACTTGGGCGCATCTGGCATCCAGCTGTGAGGGCAGTCACGCGGGATGCATTTATGAACGAAGCTCCATCCTTCCCTGTGACAGCAGAGTGCTGCGGAGGCCCTTTCCAGGCTCTGCAGATGCTTTGGGGACCCGGCGGGACCCCCTGCGCTCGCTGGCCCCGTCACCGCGGGTACTTGGTGCTTGTGGACGCAGGTGGTGGCCAGGCTGAGCAGCTCTGGTTCCAGCGTGCCTAACAGTGTTACTTCCTACCTAGCAAACCAGCTGGGGATTCTTCTTCACGAACTTCTGTTTCCAAAGTCCATCTGGGCAGAAATCTGAATTTCATGTGGGAAGCTTTCAAGCTTTTTTTTTTGTGTGCTGGGGAAGGTTTCTGGCGTAGGAAGTTCTGAAGAATTTTAGTTCAAAGGTGTCTTTCTGTTTTAAGTTTCGGTGCTAAGATGCAGTTCAGACCCCGGACCTGCTGCTCATTTCCAAGAAGTTGTAGCTAGGAGCCTTCCCTCTTGCCCTCTCTCCTTTTATGGACCACGCTTCCTAGATGAGCAACATGTCCCTCGAGACACTGCAGAAGGTTTGGATTAGTGTTGACTTCAGTTTCAGTTTCCTAATGGAAAAGCAGAGAGGAAAAAAAAAATTTTTTTTTTTTTTAGAAAAAAATATTTTTTTGCATAAAGGGTTCTTGCCGTCCAAACCAAAAAGTGAAAAAGTACTGACCAACTCTGCTTAAAAACATATTACTGTGTACTCTTGTGTTAATAACTGTGCCAGGCTTCAAGCTACTGGGCCCGGCAGATGGGAAGGGGGGCAGCAGCTGTGGAGGCTTCAAGAGGTTTTTACCTCTCACAGGAGAGTGACAGTGTGAAGGGAAGATCCAAGTAAGTAATCTGAAGGAATGCAAGCAAGTATCTAATTCCAATTACATGACACCTTCCCTGGGCTTCAGGATCACAAATGTGGGAGATGTAAAGAGCGGTACTGGATATGTATAGCTGCCAAAATATAATATATATTTTTTAAAATATTACTGCCTGGGCTTTAGAAAGACGGGGGGGATGACTGCACTGCTTCTTTCAAAACTAAAATAGGAGCTTGGGAAAGGGTGCTGATCGTTTCCAAACCAATGCTGTAAACTTCCTTCAAAAATATGTGTCCATTTTGGAAATGGCTGCATTAACCCACAAAAGGAATTGATTAAACACTCCGTCCCTTACATGTGGACCAAACTTGCTCTGGATTGTCTTACATTGTTTTAGGAACATGTATTTAGTTATGTGTCTTTACTGAGCGCCATCTACTCCTGCATTGTGGATTGCTCCATTTCCTCCTTTTGTATTCAAGGATTTTTTAACTTTTTTTTTTTTGTCTCAACACTACTTAGCTGATAAAGCTGTTTTTTTAGCTGATAAAGCAAATATTTATAACACTGAATAGTGGTGTTCCTAGTATGGAGTTTTTTAACCTTCTGTAGTAAAAGTGTATGATGAAAGGAGGAAGAAAGATCCCTAAACCTAACAGTGTGAGAGGTTTTTTTTTTTGATTTGCTGTGCCATAGCCCTATTAAAATATTTATTCTTAGAAGTTCGAGATAAGAAAGTAGGGAATTTGTCCTCAAGACCACGAAATGAAGGTTCATGTGTCACTCAGTAGAGTCAAATAAATGAAATTAAGGCAGTTTTTACATGGAGACTGTGGAAACCACTAGGTGAAGTAGAAAACTCTCAGGGTGGTGCTTAATACAGCCATTCTAGCTGGGATTGAGTTTTCTTTTCTCTGGTATGTCCTTTCTCATAGAACGTCCAGTTGATCAGCCTACTATCGTGTTAAGTGGTGCCCTGGCAGAACTCACACCCAGCTTGGAAGTAGCTGGAAGTTTGGCTTTTCCCTGTGGTCTGTGGAGCAGTGATGTAGCAAAAGGAGTAGGGCGCAGTGCCTGCCTCTCTGCAAGGGACAGTGACACGGAGTGACGTTAGCCCCATGTGCATGTGCTCCGTTCAGGCCCCTGCCTCCCCTGCGGCGCCGCGGTGCCAGGAGAGCTGCGGGAGCAGCCATGAGGATCTCGCTGCTGCAGATGCTTCACGTCCAACGTGCCCTTTGCCCAGGGGTGCTCAGAAGTGGGGTGAGAAGAGAGAGAGGGCTGCTGAGAGCAGCCGTGTCACGCTGCGCGTCCCTGGCCCCACACAGCACTGAGCAGCGTTAAACACGAGTCACAAAGCTGAAGGAAGGAGCTGTCACTGCATTGTGCTGGCATCGCTGTATATTCATAGAATCATAGAATGCTTAAGGTTGGAAGGGACCTCTAGAGATCATCTAGTCCAACCCCCCTGTACATGCAGGTATTGACCTGTGTGCGCTTCACTGCGAGTTCGTGATGAGCTGCTGTCTCTCGTTCTGATGGTCACATCACAGGCTCGTGTGTTTCGCGTTTTTATCACATGTGAAATGATGCTTCACACCTGATGCACGTGCAGCAAAGGAGCTGAAGAAGTGTCTGCTCCTTCCCACTTCAGGAAAGGAGTAGATGATCAGTCAATTAAGAACAGGTGATGACGCCTGGTATAAAGGATGTTTCTTATCTCCACAGAAACAATCAACGCTTGTTTTAATTAAGAGTAATGACCAGACCTAACTCCTGGAGAAGAAGGAAATTAGTTCTGGGATAAAGATTAAATCTGTGTGGATCCTCAGAAGGGCTTCAGACAGGACATTTGCTAATGTAATCTCTGAGCAGAGGTCCTCTGTAATCCATGCAACCAGATGTGTAGGCATACAGCTAGGTGACATACTGAGTGTCAGAGAAAAGACTGGTTAAATAAGAAAGACTGCAGCGTAAGCAGTTCCTTTTTTTTAATCTCAAAGTTTTTTTTTTCTTTTTTTTTTTTTTGCTTGCTTCTGTCAATATGCTCTTAATGTTTAGTTATTAGAGAATAATGTTCATTTTCTTTGCATCTGTCCTTCCACTGAAATCACTCTTACTAAGCCAGGTGAACTGGATAATACACTTTTGGACCCAAAAGTGTGATGAAGCTATGAACTGAGTTAGTCAACCAGAGTTGTACATCCTGGTGCACTGGGTTTCTCTGCTGAAGCTCCTGTCATTTTGCACTCTTTTCTTGGAGCTTGGGTGCTAGCACTGGCTCATACTCCCATGGCAGTTGTTCTGCCCTGAGTATTAAGATAATACAGCCTCCTTGTCTGTCATGAGGCTTCCTATTTATACGTACAGGGAGGCTTTTTTGGGTAAGGTTGTGGTTTTGAATATTCACATTCAGCAGTTGATCCACCCACCTTTTCTTGGAGTCACTGCTTGCTAGCATAGTGACTCTATTGTTCCTGCATATACCTAAATTAGGTAGCTCAGCCCAGCTTAAAATCCAAGTGAGCCTCCTCTAAGTCTGCAGCATCTTTAGCTGCTGCCCTGTATGTTGTTTTTGTCATCTGCAAGTTTTACTTGCAGTGGCTTTTACCTGTTTTAGTGGGATAAATGGGGAAAGGGAACATCTACACCTTCAGAAGGGCTCCACCATTATGGGAAGCAATAAAAATGTTCTTTTTCTAACAGGATACGTTTCAGATCGAAACCCAGAGAGCTGCTTTAGACGTTCACCTTGCTGACGGCAGCAGTATTAGACTTGATATCCAGACATCAGACACTGCAGAAAGAATATTAGAGGTAATGGTTCTACATGGGAATTTGCTTGAAATTTTCTATTTGCAAAAAGTGGGCAAAAGCCAAGATCATATTAGTAGAGGGCAAAGCTTTCTATCTGAAGGAAACACAAAAATGTCATCTTTGTTTCTTGAGAGATTTGGATATTTGCAGATATGTTTCTTTGTTTTTTTATGTTTGTTTGTCGCTTTCTGTCTTCCTAATATTACCAATTAGCCAAAAGCACAAGGGCTTTTTGGCTGTCAGGTTCAGGTTTTCTTCATTTATGATAGCATCAGAAAATACATATTCTTCGTTTTGGGGAGCCATTCTCAAAATAAAGCCCCTCTTATTTTCCTGCAATTGCTTGAATACTGTGAAATCACTTTTGGATACTGTAGCCAAAAAGATTGACCTAGTCTTGACTCAATGAGTTGATGCACAGTTGTTAAAACTCATTGTGTAACTGATACATCTTGTTTTTCTGCAGGCTTCTCCTCTCCCTGCTTGTGTGCCCTGATGGGCACTGTGAAATCGTGGGGCTTCCTCTGTAATAGCGGCCCAACTTGAGCACTGGTGCTTGGGATGCCTGTTAACTGCTGCTGTCACACAGCTAGTTAACAATTACTGGTTAAATTTTGAAACCACTAGCAACCAAGTGTTATTTGTGCAACTGGTTGTTCAGTGCGTGGAACGTCCCGATGATCCTTTCCCCTTGCCCGGGAAGGAGGAGCAGCAGTGGCATCTGTGTGTGTCCAAGCAAGCACACACCGTCCACACTGGTACTTGTTTGCCTGAGAATCTGGAATCCCCCTCACCATACAGAAAGATCTGTCATGTATTTGTGTTGTACCTTTGCAGTCTAGGCCCTAAAGAAGTTAGTTTTCCTCACTATTCACTACTCTTTGGCAGTGCAGGTAGACTGAGGCTGCCATTTCCTAGCATCCCAATACTGAGGGCAACATATAACAGTCTGTGCCTTGATCCAAAAATTAAAATAAGTCAAAAGCTTGCTAAGTCTGATTTCTGTGCTTGACATTCTTGCGAAATGCCATCTGGTACACTTGGTATTATGCTACTAACATTTTAGTACCTATAACATTTTGAATCTTCATGGCTAATTAGCAAGTAATTTGGAGGGCTGTCTTAGCAGAGAGGCATACAGAAAGATGGTGATGTTAATAATTTCCTTCTTCTTCTTTGGACTTTTAAACTTTATTAACGTTACACCCGGTGTTTGAACTGAGTGTGAGGCAAATGATTTTTATGCTCTGCTCCCCTCTCAGTGACAGTCCTGATATTAACCAATACGAGGAAAATTTTCCAGATATGTTTCTTAAACTTAACTTGGAGCAATTCTTCTTAATGCATATTTAGCTCAATGTCTACCTTTTCTGTGGGGAAAAAAACAAAACAAAAAGGTGTTTTTTTTTTAAAAAAAAACAGCTGAAACAGCTGGGGAAAAAAATCTTCTCCCTGTGAACTTAGTTGTGTGGTCTGTGGAGGTGAGTGAATCTGCAGTGCTTTCACCATGACACTGAGCTGGAAACGTTTTAGGGTTGGCACCTTATGGAAGGAGACTGAAAGCCACTTCTTCCATCTCATATTCAAAGAGAGGAAAGGCCACCCATCCTCCGTGACCAAAGCGACTCTTCTGTCATGTCACACAGCCTGACAGATAAATTATGACACAGGATTTATCCTAAATTATATGAAATCTCTAAAAGTTTTCAGGGATTAAAACTTTTCTTATGGTTGCCACAGAGATTTTCTGGCTCTGATGCCACGTTTAGTCTGTGGCTACTTTAACTTGGGCTCTGACTTTCAGGAGTGGAAAGAGAGTAGGACGTTGCTGCTGGTTCGTGCTCCCCTCTGCCTGTTTTCTGTCCCCACCATCCTGTTGTGCAGCAGGTCCTGCAGATCACTTCTGCACTTTCTGCTTATGCTATTTCTGCCCTCTTTCAAAAAGATGTAAATGGGCTTAAAAAAAAAGTCCAAATGTCAAGCAGGGTGAGATTTACTTTCTTGCACACTGGCAATAATGAAAACGCAGCAGAGCTCAAGTGGGCTCTTGACAGAAGTCTTCACATGGAACAGCACAAGCCTACAAGCAAGACTGGAGCCGTTGGTTAAAGCCTCTTCCTGAAATGCAGTGAGATTCTATCATCTCGAAAGATGCACAAGTAGATTTTTACAGGATTTGTGTTATGTTGGTAAGAGTATTACCACCTCAGGGTACATAAGTTCTTACTGTACAACAGGATTTGAAAATTCAGTAAGATTGGGGATTACATGTCAGATGCCTGCACATGTATATTTAGTAGTATACTTAAATGCATGGCAGAGTACAAAACATTTTGTATTTTTATTACTTTTTTATGTTCCTTTGAAACTTACGAAACTCCTCACGAGCTCAAATGCTGCAATATGGGAATGGTTATATTTGTTTTTAAATTGGCAGTTAAGTAGGACATAAGGGAATGGTTTAAAAACAATTAAGTTGCATTAATAGGTATTGAACATGCCTCCTGCTTATTCCTGCTAATGGATAGCTGACCTTCTTTGTGTTTAAAGGTTACATCACACAAGATGGGGCTATCAAGAGAATTAATAGGATATTTTAGCCTATTCTTTATTCAAGATCATGGTGACGGAGCGCTCTCTGGTAAGCTGTACAAAGTGCTGAATTTAGCTTTCCCTTGGATTTCTGTAGGCTGCAGTGATTGAATCTGGGATCTCTGAACAGAGCCTGAGCCTGCTGAGGCTGAAAGACCCTTTCTGGCTGAATAACCCCCCTCAAGTCGTTCCCCTGTGGGGCTCAGCTGCTCCTCGCTGGGACAAGTGGTGGTGGGAGCAAAGCTTGGCAGTGGATTGGTGTGGTGCAGGGGCAAGACTTGCATTTGAGGACATCGTGTCCTTCTGTTTAGAAGACATAGAGCAATTTAAGGCATTTAATCAGATGACTATTAAAAAAAAATAATTCTCCAAATCTCATGCCGAGTTCCTGGGGCAGGAAACTCTTTTGTTAAGTTTATAAACAGTGTCTGTGGCTTGCCTTCCTTTATGTCCTGACACATTTCCTTTCTTAGCTCGTAGAAACTGAGAAGTTTAACCACAGTGATGGCGCTGAGCAAGCCATAAATCCAGACTGCTGCTTTCTTTGGAGTCACGAAATGTGAAGACACTTTTTTCTCCCCCTCACTGGCTTACTGAGGAGCTGTTTCCTATATGGATGAACGTGTGGATGGGCCCACACCTGGGATTAAGAAAGGATGGGGCCAAATCTCTCCCCCACAGGGAAGGGCTTTAGCTATTTAGCCATTGATGGGAGTAAAGCTGGGCGTCAACAGCTTCTCCGCGTGACCTGGGGAAGCCATTCAGCTTTTCTTCAGTCTCCTCACTGACATAAGGATGCTAGTGGCCATTTTCTGAACCTTTTCAGTATGAAGAGGTACTGAAGGTTCAGTAATAACCTCTGTCTTTCTCAGTGGGGTAGAAACCTTACAGTTCATGTTTATTTAAAATTTCTCCCTCTCTCTCCCTCTGTCTGGCTATGAAAGGTAATGCTGAGTGCACAGGCTCCCCGGCTGTTACTATGTCACAAACATACCTGGATATAACATTTTATGTGCTGTTTTATGACTATTTTTCTCTTTGCCTTGTATTGCAATATAATTGAATACACAGGAGAATAGAAGAAATTTTCAATTTATTGCAATTCTGCATGTCTTTTATACACCTCACAAACACATCAAGTCAAAATGTAAGCCACAATCCACTGCCAAGAAATATTGAAGTGCTCATATGTTTAAATTAAAGCACATGTTATTGTTCTGCTAAATTGGGGTTATGGTTCAAAAATAAATATTTACAGGATTGGGCCTTTAAAGATTTTTAAAGGATCCCAGCTGAGTAGTCGTCTCTAGTTACAGTGTTCTCATCTAGTGTTTTGTTTGAGAAGGGGTCTGATCTTGGAAGTCTGCATCCATACTTCGAAACACAGAAGCATCCATCCTGCTAAGATGTGTTTTGAGAGAAGGCTATTCTGTAAGAGCATATTCAAAGGCAGTAAAGATATTTAGTAAATTAAAGAGCAACTTAAATTTAACTTGCAGAGAAGTGAGGACGATAACCTGTCACCTTATTTTACCCTACAATTTATTTCTGTGAATATTTTTTTTTCCTCTCCAAAAGCACACTGCTAAAGCCCTCTAATCCATCCCTAACTGAAATGTGAGAGTAGCTGGCCAACTATATTAGATTTCACCAAATATCTCATTTTTCTTCTTTTCCTAGTGGTGAAAAAAGTGGCAGAATTTGAACTTCCTTATGTGAGTCTTCAGAGCATGAAAGAGTTGCACTGTAAGCTTGGGATCAGAAAGTGGTGAGCAAGAAGCTTGAGAGAGACTAGTAACATGCCTGATAACTGCTGTAAATGGTGTCAAAGAAAGAAGTCCTTTGAATAACTTAGATACAGAGCCCTCAACCTTGACTGTTGTTCTTTGAGGCCAATTTGCTGTTGGAATTGTCTGGTTTCTACGGCCCTGTATTTTATTTTATTTCAGCACTGTAGTATTTCTGAAGTGTTTTTCACAGCAGCGAGCTCTTTACTCTCTCCCTCCTTGCGAATCTCTAGAGATGTTTTGTACATGCTTGACTTTAACTGTTACATCTGCATATTGAACTGACCTCAAATGGGAATATGTATCTGAAAATACAGTTAAAAGGATATAAAAGAAAACTTGGGGTTCTGAGCTACAAGAACCAGCTCACTTTGGGCAGAGGTGGATTCTTTCTAATCCAAAGTTCTCATTTCTATGTATTAATGCACAAAATACTTGAGGCTGTAGCTTGAGCTTTTCTTTTGGCCAGTGTGCAGCTTAAGCAGCAAAGTTTGTTCCCTTTCATTGCCCCATCTCTGGCACGTCCCAGCTGTGCTGATAAAACTCCATGGGCAGACGTGGTAAACGGGGCTGGGGAGCTCATCTAGGCTAAAAATAACCTGCTGGCTGTTTTATTTATTATGTATTTATTCGTGGTGTGTTTGCTGACCTGCTCTGGCCCATGTCAGTGCCCCAGTGCTAGCTGTGCCATGAGCAGCTGTGCGCTGGCTCTGGGCTACGCGTGCACCTCAGCGCTACAGCTACCTGTGTGTAGAGAAGACATGAATTGCTTGGGCAAAGAAAGAAAAAACACGGAGGAATTTTACAGTTTTGAATTGCAGTTGTTGGGTTTGGCACCACCAAAGTCAAAGTGGAGAGATTAATATAACTTTATTTCTGTTCTGCAACAATGTTTAACTGCAGTGCCCACTGCAAGGGTAAAACTGTTCATGTAGCAGGTAAGGGAATGTATCTGCGGGTGCTCCCATCGTGTTTGGCTGCCATGTCAAAGGGCTGTGTTAAGAAGTATATCTTCATATTTTATTACCTTCTTTTTCCCCGCCAGGTATATGGATCCTTCTCTTGATACACTGTTGATGCACTGTAGAGCTTCAATTAACCTGCTATATTTGCAGGTAAACTTGAAAGAGCTTCAGAATTTTAAAAGTAAACACTTCCATGTTAATTTCTTATTTTAAGCAAGTTGTTGAAATGTTTAGTGTAGATTGCATTAGTATTCAACATGCTCATAAATTATCACTGCCTTGTGGTGCTTTTCTAAATGGTGGGCATGGTTACGATTCAACACTTGGAGGGGCAAACTCATGTACTAGAGACACTAACTCTTCTTTGTTTTATACATGGGAATTGCACAAAAGGAGCGTATTTAGACATCTCTCCATTTTCTTTACATATCTCTGTAAGTACTGTCTAAATAAGGACAGTATTTGAATTCTAAATTGTAGGTGTTGGGTTGTACTAGCTTTGGAAACTATTAATTTGGGAGAGAAAAGTAGAATGAATCTGTTCCAAAATCCAAATTCTTCGTTATTTAAAGAAACGAAACAAACAAAATATCAGTTTGTGGTGTATGAAAAGGCAAATAAATTTGTACTGACTTTTTTTTAAAAAAACTACTATTTTTAAAACTTCATTTAAGGCAATCCAAGAAATAGAGAGGAACTGGATTAAACCAACAGAGGAGGACATGCAGGAGCTTGAGTTTCTACAAAAGACTGAAAACAAAGTGAAGGTAAAATGGTACTTTAAAACAATACAAACAGACTGAGGGGTGAACTTTGAAGCAGTGGCATTTGAGGCTGTTACTATTTAAAACAGAGCATCTTTTTGTAGGCTGAGGTGGACCAGAAATTCAGATCTCCTACCTCCTGGTCAAATCATAACTGTTGAGTTACTAGACAGAGGAAGGAGGATTCTAACTCTGCTGTCATTTTAAAGCATCCCACAGAATAACTTCGATACCTAAGGCTAGAACAAGCAGTTGGAATGTGAATCCCAGTATTTCCTATTTGCCAAGCTCAGGCTTGGCTCATCAAGGCTTCACATTCAGTTTAAGTGAGATGGGAATTCAGGCTGCAGAAACTTTTGTCCTCCCTCTTTCCTACTAGTTAGTTTTCTCTTCCCCTCTTCATGGCTCTAACGCATTTCTCAGAAGATTCAGCTTGCCATACCCAATGCAAAAAAGAAAAAAATCGGGTTTCTGGGAGCTGTAATCCCTAAATTGAGCACTAAGATATTGTGGTGGATGTGTGTTCTCCCAGGAGTGGATTAGGAATCTGGAAGATTTGCTTTCTAACCCATTTTCCAAATCACTAGCCCTCACGTGCCTGTACAGTAAATCATTTTAGGCCTGTCTTTCTGATGCAGTTCCTGGAGCTGGTTCGAGAAATGCAGTTCTATGGCTACATACGACTTGATCCTTGCATTTGTGACTACCCAGAAGTAGGTTGCTCAGCTGACGTCTATGTGGGCAATAATGAAATTAACTGCTACATAAAACTGCCTACTAACCAAACCAAAGAGGTCAGCTTTAAGATCAACAGGTTGAGATGTTGGCAGGTCACTTTTCTTGTAAGTACTTCCCTGACTCTATATCTGAGTTGTTTTTTTCTGCATGAAAATGGGGGCAATGGCAGATCTTGGGGGTAGGGTCTGTTTTAAATCTCTGCTATCCATGACTCCCCAGACCCCCCCCCCAGTCTTATCTTTGAACAAATTTCCATAGCCTCACTCTACTGTAATTGCTCCCTTCCCCGATGATTTTTTCTCACTTTACCTGCCCCTCTTCCTTCGTGTTGAAGGTGAAGTTGGCAGAGCATTTTGTGGGGGAGCAAAAGAACTGTTGTAGCCAGTTTTGTGCTTGCAAAGACTGCCCCTTCCTTCATCCCACCTGTTCCTCCTCAGGAAAAGCATTCTGGTACAGATCTGTTTTATTTAGATTCTATATAAAATGAACCTGACTAATTCAGGTTTAAGGCTGGACACCTTAATGCTATTCTTAGCTGATTCTTCTGTTCTTCTGCTTTTCAGGGTGCAGGAAAAGATGGTAAAGAAGAGACTCTGGAGCTCAGATTTGAGTACAGAGATTCAGATAAATGGCAGTGGATAGTTTTTTACACAAAACAGGTTTGTTCTTAACCATGTCAGAAAGGGCTCAGAGTGAAATATAATCTTATAACCATAGAGATTGGAATCTGTACTTAAAAAGTGATTAGTCCATTTCTTGTAGTTACTGTGTTTACAACCTGTCAGGCTAGAGGCAGAGGAAAACCATTTCAGTTCTTACTGTAAGGAGGAGAGATCCATGCACACACACACACAGAGCAGGAGAAATACTCAGTACTCAGCAGCAAACTTGGCTTGGAGCTCGGGGCTGCCATTCACTTACTGGGCTCAGTGAATATCCCAAACCATTTATCCATCAAACTCACCTAAGGTCAAAGGCTTTTACCCTCCCCAAGAAAGCCTGTCGTTCAAATATATGCTGTATAAACACAAGTTAATGGAGGATGTAAGTATGTTCCTTGATATCACATATTATCTTTGCACATAAATAGTGCTTAGACAGGGTTTTATAGAGTACCATCCTTCCACTGTTTACCAACAGCTCTTTAAAGATAAAGGTGTCCAGGAACTGAAGTCAGACATCTGTGGCTACGCTTCCTAGCAGATAGTCTAGGCTCTGCTGTATCCAACGGAGCACCAGCCTCAGTTCAGGTAGTGAGCCTCTACTTAAAATAATAATCTAGGTGCTGCTATATCCAAGGGAGCACCAGCCACACTGCCCCGCACAAGAGCAGACAGGCTTTTTTTAAAAAAAAAAAAAAGTAAAATGAAAAGGATTATTTTTTTCACACATGACTTCTGAATTCCAAGAAGATGATGCAGTTAACACAACTCTTTCTAAGTGCTAGTTTCCTGGCACACTTAAATTCTGTGAGAACATGAGCCATCCACATTCACACCATCAGTGACAGCAGGAAGCTTTCCAGTTTCTTTACTGATAGATTTCATAGGAGAATTAATACTGAAGTATTTATCAGTAGAGTTGTGCTAGATGTAGACCAGTGATTAGAAAAGTAGGATCCCACCTTCCTCAGATGTGCAAGGAGGAGATAAGGGCTGGAAATGTGCTGCTGAGTACAAGTCAAAATAACTAAATTAGGAAAATAAAAGCTCTGTTTGGGGGATGCTTTTCTGGTGGGGGAGGAATGGAAGAGTTCAGTAAATCTTTTAATAGAAGTAAACATAATGTTGGAATTGGAACATTTATCCTTTTTAGGCCTTTCTGCTGAGTAGCTGCTTGAAGAAAATCATATCAGAACAGATGATGAAGGCAAGCAAAGAAGGCCAAGAAATGGTGAGCATGTGTCTATGTAGGTGCCTGACTAGCTGTTAAAAGGAAACAAAACTATATATATATATTTAAAAAAATGTGCTCGGAAAAGTCCTACTGATGAAAAAGATCTTGAATGTTCCAGCATTTCAATAAAGAATTAGTTGACTAGAAAATCTATTTTTGCTTAATTTTATTGGATGTAGTATTATTCTGGATGTTTTTGTCATAATTTTAGTCCTTTTTTCCATTCTCCCTCTTGGACTTTAATTCTTGCTGCATATAATAAAAGACACTTATGGAATAATTCTTATGTTCTGCTCTAACCTGTTTGTATCCATATCTGTCTTGTGATTTGTAGCTAAAATACTTCAGTTGTCTTTTGTGTAGGCTTTTAAGGATGAGAGTATGTTTAAGTACATATAATTAGAAAAAAAAAAATCCTAATGTGCTTGTGACATCTAAAGACTTTGTTGAATGGGTGTTATGTTAAACCTCCTAAGGGGGTGAAAGGAAGAGGGAAGATTAGTATTCAGTATTTAAGTATTCAGTTGTTAATGCAACTGGAGTAACCTTGACTATGACCAGAATTGCAAGTGAAGGGCAAATATGCCAGTTCGTTTCCTGTGCCATTTCTAGGGGGTTTCACTGAACACCCATTCCTTTATCCAACATATTTTGTTTCAATACTTGGAGGTGTGTCGAGCTTACTGTAAGCTAATTCTTTCAATCTATTTAGGAGGTCAAGATGCCTGAAGGCACAAAAAGTAGTAAGAAACTCAGCACTCAACAGAAACAGGTTAGTAAGTGAGAAAAGCTCTCCAAAATATGAGTATATACTGTTTGCTTTTTTTTAGGGATTTTTGTTTGTTTTGTTTTGAATGGGGAGACTCCTGATAAGTTTAGTTGGAATTTCTTTCAGTAGGAGGTGGAGCTAAACTTGAATTTTGGAAAGAGAAAGAGAATGAGAAATATGTCAGATAAAAGTATTATTTTGCTTTGGGCTTAGTGACGCTATGATTTACTTTATGTTTAAAAACCATTTCTGAATTAAATTATTGATGAAGTTCACAGAAAGCCAAAATGTGCACACAGATTATGTATCTGCACATCCTCAAGCAGTTGTTGCTATAGTTTACAGGCTTGTGCTTGGGTTAACACTGGGATGGTTTGTATTCATCTTTCCCTTTATTTGGGAGTTATCTGTTTGGGAAACTGGTCATGTTACAAACCTGTACATGTACATTTCTATTATGGAACAGATAAAATTTCAAGTTGCAGTAATTAGCATTCATAGCTATTGCTTCCTGAGTAGTCCATTTTTAAGTCATTTGTTCAATGTAGTAAATAAATGAAAGGGAAATAATACAAACCACATTCAAACACATTATTCTTTTAGACTGTATGTTTGGCCAAAGGGAACTACTTCTAAAAGAAAAAGCTATGATCTATTCTGAATTTGGGGAGGAAAATATTGATACAGCTTGAGAAAGTGATTGGTTTTGTGCTGTTTAATATTCTATTATTTCACAAGCAGATAGACTGGAATGTGTGGTGGATTTTCTTATTGCTCTGATAATGCTCTGTACTCACCACTCTTGGAGTCTAGATTCTAAATTCTTCAGTATTTGAAAATAATTTGCAATTGATAATAAAGATGATAGCATTTTCTGAACAGATTTGTTGTGCTTCTGAGGACTGAGTAAGGATGTGGTTCATGGGTTCCCCCCGGGCAAAAACTTTAGATGCTGGAGGTGAAGTCATGACCAAGTTGTACAGCACCACTCTGAGTTTGAGGCAATTCTTCTGATTTAAACACACTTTAAAATACTTTATTAGAAATAAGATGCACTATGAATGCTCCCTCTGGATTTTTGTGAGAAGGGAGGCTTTGGATAGGACAACATAAAGCCCCTCAGCTGTTTAAGACCCCTTAAGCAGAGCTGGTAACTTGAATGTAACTGTTTATTAAAGAAAGGCAAGGTACACTGCTGCTGGTGGTAGTATCACATGCTATGCACATGTTATGCAGCAAGTTCAACAGTGGTTTAGATCTTCTTGCACAAAGTTGTTATTAGTTAATTAAATAAAATCTTCAGAGGGTCATTATAATTTGGCTATTATACATCTTTCATCTGGCATGAGTTGGCCGGAAATTTATCTGATGGCTCTCCAAAGAGTCTGAAAAATTCTGCCAGGCGTTTTCTGCTGACTCAGAAGAAGAAAAATTTAATCTTGGTTTTGTGATCCTGTAGCTGCATCCTGTATTACTACTAGATCAGCATGACAGCCTGTAAATTCTTGTTTGAATAGATAATCCAGTGCAGCAATAAGATTTAGTAGGAAAATTAAGAACTGCTGAAAACAGCTGAGTTGAGATAAAAATGACTTAACTAGTATGGCACATGCAGTCTGTGCAGACAGTGAGGCCATGCTCTGGAATATGCCCACATCTAGGCAATTTTTCTGCTTGAGGTCTTTAGAAATATTGAGAAAAGAGATAAGAAGTAACTAACACTAGGAACCAGACATTAGGAAATGGAAACCAAATTTTGCCTGGCCTATCTCTCTGTTAAAAGTTATTGCAGTTATGTGACTGCCATAGCTTTACAGCAGACCCTTTAAGCAGAGCACCTTAGGACATTTATTTTTATCTATCTCAGGATATCTGCAAGAGAAAAACATTTGTGCCATAAAAGTCTCCTGATACAACAGTAAACTGCTGCAGCTACATGTCCTGTGAAGGGCCAGGTAACCTCATGCACCTTCAATTCCTGTGGCTGCTGTAACACCCCTGAGCACTGCTAGCATCTTTGGAACTGCCTTCCCATCTGCATCACGCTTAGGGTTAGTGCAATGCACCTTAGGAGCAGAAACAAAAAACAAATTCTGTCCTTTCCCAAACACTAACATAGAAAGATCACTCACTGCACCTGAACAGTTATGTTAGATTTTCTAGCTTATGTTTATATGTAACTATTGAAATGCATGTACTCTTTTAATTGTTTTGTGTTTCTCTGCAGATAGTTCATTCCAGTTTTATACCATGGAGATTTTGGGGTCGGCCAAATGAAGAGGATTATGTATTTGAGAAAATAAGAGAAGAGGACCTGTGACAATTTATTTTGTATACTGTCTTTTGAGACTGTCTGAAAATCACAAACCCTTTGAAATCTTGAATTATAACAAAAGTATCTTCAGTGCACTTCCTTGCCTTTGCAGTGGTCTCTACATATAGAACTTGTAACGGCAGTGAACAATGCTTTGAGTTAGGTGCTGTGAACCTGGAGACAGACACCTTGTAGACATATGAGCTTTTTCAGATGGAAAGCACTGAGGAAGAAAGGGGAGAGTTGACAAGGCAGAAAGAAAGTTAATGCAAAATACTTTTTCCCCCTCTCCAATACCTTAAAATATATACGGTTTCTATGAGTTTTCATATAATTAATGTGATAGCTGAGTAGGTTATTATAATCTCTGCAATGCTCTGGAAAGAGTGCTGAGGAAGAAAGGGGAGAGCTGACAAGGCAAAAAAAAAGTTAATGCAAAAAATACTTTCCCCCCCTCTCTAATACTTTAAAATGTATACTCTTTCTATAAGTTTTCACATAATTAATGTGATAGCTGAGTAGGTTATTATAATCTCTGCAATGCTCTGGAAAAGGCACATATTTTCTAGATTGTAGCTTTTGCTAGGACCTGTCATTCTTTCCTTAAGCGGAGCAGACTATTGCAGAGCTCTTGCTCTGTTTTGTGGTGCCTGGCACAGCGCTGGGATGGGGCAGCCAGTTAAATGTGTTTACGACGCACCAGAAGTTGTATTTACACACATGGCACCAGACCCAACACTAACCACGTCACTAAGGTGTTTGCTACTCAAGGTGGATAAACCTGCGGTCTCAAGTGCACTTGGATTCTTTGAATATTTTTACTGTGCTTGCCTTGAAAGGCAGAATCAGGTGAGAAAACTAGAAGGTGAAAATCAATGTTGGTATTTGGAGGAAAATCAATTAACTTCAGCCCCAGTTTGCTGAGATTTCTCCATTTTAACACATTTCATAGAAAGAGGGCCAGGAAAGGGCTCTCTAAACACGGAGGAATTGCATACCGGCCTGGGTGTTTTTGGCTTTATTCCCGTGATGCCAGTTGATGGGCAGCACATGTGTTAGCGTAGGAAGGAAAACTTTGGTAACTCTCTGTATCATTTCCTTTGGTTACCAAAACAGTTGTTAAAACTTTATATTTGTTTTGTTTTGCTTTGACGGCCTGGTCCCGAGGACGGATGTGTCTGCGCCCCCTCTCCCCCCTGCCCCTGTTCTTGGCTGCTCTCAGCTGGCTGGCAGGGATGCCCCGGGCCGGGCGCCCGG